TGAAATAGTCAAGTATTTGGAGAATAAATTGCAAACACAAAACGAACATACAGAAACAACTTCAAATTAAAGCTATTTCGTTTTTCAAATTGGAAATTTTTTTTATTATTAAATTTTGTATCTTTTATGTTAATAAGATGTATTTATACATTTATATTAAGTTTCAAACTAAGACAAATTGAAATTTAAAATAATCAAATTTTATTTAATGAGTTATAATTTCGTTCTGTAAGGATTCTTTAGCGCATAGATTTGCAGATTTGGTCGGAGGTTTTAACCCACCACAGTCCATATTTACTATGATATTACATGTACTTACTAATTCTATTGGGTTATTTTTGGCTTCACCCTTGCAATCACCATTTTTTTGGCATTTAACTTCTCAACTATTGCGCTTACAGCTCTAGCCACCTCTTCCTTTTAAGAATCTTCCTGGTAAAATCCCTGTCTCCGTTACAAAGATATAGACTCTAAAGTCTACTTCAGTACAATAAACTGGATGCATGCTTAAAAGGAAGGATGAATTTCCAGCTCCCCAATGTACATCTTTTGATATTTAGTTACCACACCATCCTATGTATTACAAAAGGAACTATTCTTGTTAGAGACTTATGTATTAGTTCCAATTTATTTGCAGGAAGATCACATTTCCTTAGCTTTTCATTCTCCACTATGATCAGTCGGTCCTGGTTGATAATATTAACTTTCACTATTTAAATTTCTTTCTTCTTCTTGTCAAATACAAGAATATTAGACTTATTATTGTTTAAAGTAATATTTGTAGATATTTTTGTGTCCACTCTTATTTCAGCTTTGTCATTTTCCATGATCTCCGTAACTGAATGTCCACGTGTCTTCTTTGTCTTCTTAAAACCATATTTAATCTATAGTAAAAGGTAAATACATCTAAATACTTCGTTGTATCTTTTGTATAATCAAAACCCAACATTTAATCACACTTGGTAGCTAAATGTTCTACAGTCTTCCTATGAGAATCACAGTTTGAACACTGTCCCTTCTGTCCACAAAATATATTTCTATCCTGTTTGAAACAATAAATTGCTCCAGATCTAGCCTGGTCATTTCCTTTCATCAGCCAGGTAAAAGAGTCCCTAATGCTAACTAGTTCTTTCTCTTTGGCTTTAAACAGCTTTTCATGGTTAATCCTTGTTTCTATTTGCTGTAAAGCGCTGGCTCTTTGGGCTTCTGCTAGCATCCTATGGGTTATATCTTCTACCAAGCTATGCCTGATCCTGAGGGCACATTTATAGTAAATAGATGAGATTTAAACCTTCACCTACTGAAAGTATTGCTGCTCGTTTTAGAGAGCTATTTTTTAACTCATTAAATGACTTATTAATGTTCAAAAACATATTTTTTTCACTTCTATTTTAATACTTATAAGCCCTCTTCCTATTTCAGATCTAGGTAGGTATTTATTTCCCTACAAGCTGGTTGTAGGTGGACTTTATACTTGATCAGTATCTGTCTAATATCAAAATTGAGGCCCTTAAAATCTGTTAGCTCCAATTTGGGACCCTTTATTACTAATATAGCATTCTCATTAATTTCTCGAATTATATTCTTACCATTTAGCTAAGTTCTGCACAGCTTTTCTGCCCTTTTTAAGATTTTGTTTTTCACTTTTTTAAACGTCTCTCTTTTTGCAGTACTAGATGCATCCTCTGTCATTCCAAGGTACTTTTATCCCCGTGGTCTTTAGTACTATCGAATCTTCAATGCATTCAGTACAGTTTGTTACTGACATACTTTTGTTCATTTCTAATCTTACAGCTAAAAAAACTTTTTAGTTTCCTCATTCATCAGTTGAAGAACTATTTAAGTCTCTGTAAAAATCTTTAGGCCTTTAATAATTAGAAGGTGCTTTGTTACAAACTCATTTTGGGAGGTTAGTATTCCTACTTTTAGATATGTTAAGTTCAGTTTCCTGCTCAGTTGATCCATACATAGTACAAACAAAAGGGGAAAAAAGGAATCTCCTTGCAATACCCCCTTTTCAATCTTCTTAGTCAATATTATTTCTGATTCCGATATTGTCTCAACATGCTACTTTCTAACGGTAATCTCTAAGAATTTACTTATCCATAAATGGGAAGTAATTTGCCTATGAAAGTTAGTAGATAGTCATGGTTTACAGAATTATAGGCGCTTTAAAATCTATCCATGTGGTTTTTAGCTTGTTTCATGTTCCTTATTGATGGCTATGCTTATCTTGGCTTGCTCCTTGGCACTCTGTACTTGTTTAACTGTCTCTAGTTGGTTCGCAGATAATAGTTTTCTACTTTTTACAATCAATTGCGTCATTTTCATAGTGCATTTTGTCGTAAGTTTGTAAAAATTATACATTTAGGTAATAGGCCTAAAGTCGCTACCATTTGTGGGGGTACCTTTTGGTATTAGGGGCATGTAGTAGTGGCAAAAAAAGCGCAATTTTAATTTGAATATATAGAACTTTTTTATATTGCATTAAGTTTACATTACATATAAAAATTACATTTTTAGATTTATTTATTATTGTTATTATAAATTTGCGTCATAAAAATGCCTTAAAAAATTTTTTTTAAAAATGTGGACAAAAAAAACGCAATAAATTTTTCAATATATAGTATGTCCCCCCTTTACATCAATAATAGCACTACAACGTTTGGTCATGCTTTGAAACAATCTTATACGTGTTTTTTATTGATTTTATTTTATTATTCAATAGTAAATTGCTCTACCTGTAATTAATTTTTTAGTCTTCTTTTAGCAACGTTAATCTCAACAATTGACTATAAATTCTAAAGATAGTTCAAACCGGGTGATTGTGCAGGCCAAATCATAGTGTTAATATTTCAATCTATTAAATATTCACTCACATACTTGCTTGTATGTTTGGAACCGTTATTCTGTTGAAAAATGTAATTTTTCAGTTTAAGTTTTTTGGCTGAACATGCCAAATTTTTGTCTAAAATTCTTGCATATTCTCTTAAATGTATTATTCTCCCAATTCTATGTATATTTCCGACACCATCTGCTGAAAAGCAGGCCCATACTATGATACTGCCATCTTTATGCTTAACAATTGGGGGAGGGAGATTATTTTTATAATATCTTGTATTTTTTTCTTCGTACACATCCTTTATCATCAAATCAATAAAGATTTATTTTAGATTCATCACACCAAATTTTACTAGTCCATCTTTCATTCCACCGCGAAGCATGTTTTTCAGCCCACTTCAATCTTGCCTTAATTTTTTTTTGGCAATTTGTTTTTTTACAAGAAACCCTACAAAAAAGTCACATTCACATAATTTTTTTTTATAATCCTTGCAGATATTGTTTTTCACGTTCTATTTTCATATCTTCAGTCAATTTTGTGCTACCAATTCTATAATCCTCAGAAATTTTAAATCATCATTTTTAAGAATATTGGACTTGCATGATTCAATCTTTCTCTTACAAATTCATTTTTTTTAGTTTTACTTTAAATCGTGTGATGATTGAAAGATGTACTTCATATTCTTCAGCATTTTACAATTGTTTCATTCCTTTTTTAAATACATTTTAATCCCAATTTTTTCATCCAGAGAAAGCTTTTCTGCCATGGGTTTAAATTTTAAATCTTTTTTATCTTTTAAAAAAGCATAACAAAAAAATTTAAATTAAAAATTGCGATTTTTGAACGGCACTTTTAGTTAATTATAAATTAACATATACATACGAACTTCCCATCATTAGTTTTGACAAAAAAAAACATTTATACATTTGTGTAAACTATCTAGTTTGTAAGTTAATATTGTCTTAATAAAAATATTTCATAGTTTTAAAAAGATTGCGTTTGTTATGGCCATATTGTACCTGCGTTTCTATTTTCTACAGGCAAAATAAAACATTTTTTGAACCTTTTTTAATACCACCAATATGCCATTGTCCATTTCTAATTCTTCCTCGATTATACTTTCTTAAAAAAAGACTTTCGTCAATCTCTACAACTTTTGGCACCCCGTGCTCGTTTAGCCCACAAATCCTAATTGTTTGGTCAGCCATATATTCACAAATACAATCCCTAACCAAATCGGCTATTTCACTTGCTGTTTTCCCACATATTTCAAGTTTCAATGCAATATCTACAAAAGATATTCCAGAAGGTACTTATAGACAGCTTTTAAAATAGTTTGTACACCAATCTTGAATGAATCAAAAAAGTTACATGTTTTAAAGAACACATCTGCATATATAAACTTTTGCAAGCCCAATTATAGACATCTGGTGCGAGTTTGCGGTTTACATATGACATTTGGGAGCGCCTTTGGCACTCGCTGCATGTCACAGTATTAGCAAAAAGCCCCAATTTGCATAGTGTTGCGTTGAATGTATTCGTATCTGTAAACATATTGCCAGTGTAAACTTCGTTGATCGTAATAGCTCAGATATCCTCAATGCTATATACTCTCTCGCTTCAACAGTTTTAGTTTTATATCTTCTAGTAATTTGGGGCTAAAAGTATTTTTTTAAAAGCAGGGTAAAAGTAGCGCCCATCGAAGGTTTATTTTTTAAAAACTTTTGTAAAAACTTTTTATAAATTTTTAATTAATTATAATTTTTTTAATTTACATTATTTTTCTAAAATTCATGCTAATTAAAACTTTTAGAAAAAACAAATTAATATTTATAATGTAGAAAGAATAAAGGTTTTCTAATGGATATGAAACTAAGTAAGCAAGTAACATTTACTGATAAGTTATATTCTAGATTGCATCATTTCGCAAAGATTATTTTGTAAATCATAAAAGTTCATTCCATTTTATTTTAAAAAAGCTGTTAAAATCTTTATCAGTTTAATAAAAAACTTTTTTGAAATATCCTATAAAAGTTTAAATTTCTTTACTTTTTTGCAGACATTTATACCTCAACAAATAATGAACTTATTGGTACTATAGAATCTGTCGTAAGTAATAGGAAAGACTTTTATAGCGCAAAAAGAAAAAACAATTTAATCAAATTTCAAATGGTAACAATATCACAAAGCAATTTTTGGACCAAAAAAGCTTTAAGCTAACAAAGATAGTTGAGAATACTGTAGAATTAGAAGAAAAATTACGGTATAAAAATATATATGGTTCTGTATCTGATAATCTTATTTTTGATACAATAAATTCTCAGCATTTAGCAGCTAAAAATTACAAAACTTTCGAAAAGCCAGTTTGGAAAAAACTTAAATTAGACGACAATAATAAATGTAGTACTTCTGAAAATGCAAGAGATTTGGAAGAAAATTTTTAAAATAGTTCAAGTATATGCGATAGTAGTTCATTTAAATTTTTTGAATCTTTAAAACAATATGATGCAGTATTAAACTCAATAAGACGATAAATAATAAAAATGAAAATCTAAATAATTATACAAAATGTAAAGAAAAAATACTACGTAAAGATAAAGAAGACTTACTAAATAATTTTTATGATGTTTGTGCTAAAAAAATTTAATGAGGTTCTAACTTATAAAGAACACTTAAATCATAATAATCTTGTATTTCAGAATGGAACATTACAATTTAGTAATCAACAATCAAAAATAATGAATTTATTTATAGATTTTTCTAAAGAAAACCTAAAACTATTTAAATCTTTATTTAAAAAAGCTAAAAAGAACCAATTTTAATTTCAAAAGATTTTTTTTGTTGGAAATAAGAACAAAAAACTTATATCTGAGTTATCGATGATTAAAAAATGTTATAATTTGAGAAAAAGATATTTAAACAAAAGTGTTGAATTTCAAGTAAAAAATATAGAAAAAAATTCTTTTTTTACAGAATCTTCATGTGAGTCTGTAAAGAAATTAATAATAGAATACAACATGTTTATTAAAGAAGTGATAAAGCATTTTTTGTTTTTTAATCTAAATATTTATATTATTAAGAAAAATTTTTATCTTATTTACAACTAATGTAAAGATATCACAAAAAGACATACAAATATTTCACGAGCTGTAAAGCTTGCATGTATTATTGTAATTATAAAAATGCTTATTGAAAGATTAGAGGGCTCTCAGAATTTTTTGAAAAAGGAAAGAAATAATTTATAAAGTCTGTTACTCATTTATCTACAGATATTAATCGATTAATTTCCCCTTTAAAAGGAATTATGGAGAGTAATGATAAAGAATATGAACGTAGAGAATATATTTAATAATTTATTAATTGATTAGACTTTTTTATATTTTGTAATAAAAACTATATCTGTACAATCTTATAACCAATCATGAAAAAACTTTATAGTATTTAACACCCCCCCAATAACTGACCGATGGTTGTCACTGGAATTTTTTAAGTCACAATACAAGTATTGGTTTTTTCAAAAATTTAATAAAATTTTTTTTTATAAAAGTAATTAAAGAAAATATTAAATAAATTATATTCTCTATGAAAGCTTTTTTTAAAAACAAGTCTATATACTTTTATTTCTAAAAAGCACGCGCAATTTCAGGTAGAAACGGCAGTACTATTATTAGAATATAAAATAACAGTCTAGAAAGAACAAAAAAATCACAGTGACATATCCTCCTGGGAGGTATTGTTCCACAATAGATTTTTTATAAACTGATTTATTTTTCTTGTCAGGAACGATATCACTCCTTGTTTGATGATATTTATTTATAGCACTATTATCAAACGTCTTGACATTTGAAATTGACGATATTTACTTTAATTAAACAGTATACCACATTTCGCCATTTCATTTGATTTCTCCTATGTGAATCTATTCCTTTTTCCTGATAGTTTAACCCATTGATTTTTTGTTCACACTTCTGCAATAGTATACGATTTTTCGTATTAGACTTGATTTTTTTGCATGCAAGTTTTTTATTTATACGAGCTCGTTCCCCCTCTACTTTCTTTTGTTTTCTGTTGATCGTTTGCTTTTATTTTTTTCCTCAAATTCTAAAATTAAGTTTTTATCTAAATTTAAAGTTCTTTTATTGTTCCTCTCAAAAGGCGAATGTAAAATAAAGCTTCTAAAGTTATAGTTGAATCTTGTATGCATTTTTTATAACTTCTGATAATATAATTTTTTTATAAATTCGAATGATCCCAGACAGAATACCGTTGATTCTTTTTGCAATTTTGTTAGATGCACGTTTATATATTGGTGCATGAATTGAGTTAGCACATCTTTTGATTTTGTAAGAATTTTTCGCTTGTAAATTGTGTACCGTTGCCCGAGGTCAGCGATTTTGGAACTGTAAATTCTGTGATCCATTTTATAATGTTTTTAATAATAATTTCATCTGTAATTTATTGAAAAAAATTTTACTCAATCTTGTAAATACGTCTTTTATTGTTAAGAAATATCCCCTTTTAAGAGCTTTTGATGTTTTGAATTTGTTTAGTCGATTGGTCTAAATATGTCTATACAAACCTTTCAAATAATTCTTTTGCTGTTATTGCTATATGATTTAGGATTTTTGCTTGTTTTTTACATGCTTTACACATAACACAATTGCCTATTATTTCTTTTAATTTTTGAAGCCTTCAAAGCGAATTTGCCTACATTAATTTTCCCTTAAAAAAGAAGGGCAATTAAAATAAAAAATATTTTTAAAGGCGTTTTTACACAAAGTTAGAAAAAGTTAGCAAAAATGCTAAGTAAAGCAACCCTTCAGATTTTTTTATATAAAGCGAAAATATTATTTTTTTTGCATTTTTTCTCATCGACTTACCTTGCCTGCCTAACCTTAAATACCGTAGCGACATTAAAAAATAGAATTTGTTTTTTTAAATTTACTGTGGTACCGTACCACGTTCTTAAACATTAAATTTATTTATTTATTTTTGGCGTGCTTGCCAGGAGTTGTGCCTATGACAATAAAGCATTCAATGATGCTGTGAGAAGACTCGTAAATTCCCAGGTAAAGAGTGTTTTGTTACAATAAGTTTTATTTTTATAGGTGTTGCGGTAATTAGAACTACTTTTACTCACGTCTTTTTATTAATTTTCTTATTTATATTTATGTTTAATTAATAAACATAATTTTTTAAAGAAATGAAATCACCAATATGTGACGTTTTAAACTAATCAAATAAATTATTTGTTCGTTATAAAAATATGGTTTGAGAATTATACCAGATTTTGCCACCCCCCAGACTCTAACGCTTTAGCGACGGACATGTGTCTAAGAATGGACATTTTTTAACCATACCCAGTTCCCTTTTGGTCCTATTTCTTCAATAGTTCTCTTGCTTCCATATTTTCGATCTAACTTACCGGCCTTAAGAATTCGTTTGAAAACTTGCTCATCTATTTAAAGCTTTGGTACCTGTTTAACCTGTTATATTTTATGTAAATAATTTTGACATTTGTTATCAACATCATAGAAATCCTTTTTATTGGCTATAAGGTATGGAGATGCCTTGATGCCTCTATTATAATTAATATTAAGCGTATCTTTTGCCATTTTTACAGCTTCTTTGATATCTTTATGTTTGCTAATTGCCAATATGAATGCAATAGTTTGATTTATACGTTCTGAAACTTCATTTGACCTTGGATGTACATTGGAATTATATATGTGAATAATTCCTGTAATTAGTAAGTAGTCCTTAAACTTCGTAGAAATATATTGTCTACCGTCATCTGATATTAGATGCTTGGGAATTCCTTTTTGTTCGATCCATGTTTTTATTGCGTCAATAAGTTCTTGGGATTTGATTGATTTAAAGAAGAATAATTTTGTTTCTCTCAAGAATATATCTAACGTTGTTAGGATATATCCTGCCTTCTCCTCCGGATCTAAGTTGCCGATATAATATTTAAAGAACCAAAAATGCCAGTTGAAATCCTTTCATATAACTTTGTTGCTTCTATTTTTGCATTGTTTTGAGGCTGACTGTTAATTATTTTGTATTTTTTGCAAACACTACAGTTATTTACAGTTTTTAAAATCATTAGTATAATATTACTAATATACAAGTGTTGTGGTCAACGGGTTGATTTACTAAATAGCGTTTATTTGTTCTCTTTTTCAACCCCTTTTCGTTTTTTCGCATATTTACATAAATATGCGAAACTCCGTTTCAGAGTGAGACTGACAGGCCGATTTTACATTATAAAACGGTCTCAAAAATAATTCATTCTTGTTGAGCTTCATGGGCGCCAACACTTTCCCCTTCATTCAGATTAGATGCTGTACTTTTGGAGTTAAGCTTAACAATGTCTTTACGATTGATTTCATACACAGAACCCGTGTTTACATCCTTAATTCTGCAAGCCACACGTTCTTTGTTACTTCCTACTTCAAACGGCTCCTGATAAAAAGATTCAAATTTTCTGTTTAGCAACCTGTGCTTCTTACCGAGGCTCTGTCTCCTATATCCAAATCTTCTGGATCTATCATGCTTTCATTTCTTGCATCCGTAGCTTTAATACTTTTTTCGTGTGCTATGTTAAACTTTTCTTTCTTTAAGGTCAGAAATTTCGTTTTTTCCTTTAGGTACTCAACTAGGTTAGACAAAAAACTTTCAACTTCCTTCGAAACTTTATTACATTATATTGTACACTCAGATTTCGTCCGTAACACATCATGAGTGGCAACGCATTTAACCTTTCAACCATTCCAATTTTGTATTGAAATAAAACGTACGGTAGCACTTTATCCCAGCTCGATCCGCAGTCCACCATCGCCTTTGATATCTTAGTTACGATCTTCTGGTTTGTCCTTTCCGCCAATTCGTTTGGTTGTGGAAGATGGGGGATGAGTGCTTTATCTTAGTATTCCAAAATGCCGCTACATATCTCACCAATTCATTCAAAAACTCGAGTCCTTGGTCACTCCTAATTTCCTTTACGACACCATGCCTCGAGAATACATCCTCGACTAAAAATCTTGTTATTTCTTTAGCCGACCTACTTTTTAAAGCCTTTCCTTCTGTCCATTTTGTGTAGTAGTCTGTTGCTAAGACAATAAATTTGCATCCTAATGTCGATTTCGGCAGTGGTCCAATACAGTCAATTCCCCCCCCTCTGAGAAATTCTCCGTCAATATTTGTTGGATACTGTCTAAACTTCTAGTTTTTCTTGAAATTTATGCATGTTTCACATATTCTGACGACCTCCTTTACTTTTTCTTTCGTAATGTCGTTTTCCATCCATTGTGTTTTCAAAAAAATGTAAGTATTATTCGCACAACTGTGTCCCGTCAATTGACGCGCCCCTATAATCACCTCATTGGCACTTCCTTTACAAATTGCCTTCAGTTACATTCGCGACACATAGTCTGCAACCACGTTAGATGTACCTTTCATATATTAAATCTTAAAATCCATATCACAAGGGAACATCAACCATCTTGCTAACCTCCCTTGAAAGCTCCTCGTTTTGTACAACCAGATCAATGACTTATGGTCCGTTAGTACAATAAATCTTTTATGCAAGTAACTTTTTAATATTTTCAAAGCGTAAATAAAGGCGAGTGTCTCTTTTTCGAGTGTCGAGTAACTCTTTTTTGCTTCGATGAGATTTCTACTTCAAAATCTAATTGCTGCCTCTTTACCCTTCTGAACTTGCCTTATCACGCCTCCGATGCAATAGTCCGACGCATCAGATTCAACAGTAAAGTGTTCATCTATGTCCGGTAATGCTAGCCACAGCGATCCAATTAACTCTTTCCTTAAGGTTTCCATCTTCTTATCGACTAGAGCTTGATCAAATTTCAACTTCCTGTTAATAATTTGATTTAATTTATACATCTTTCTTCAAACCCCCTTGATAAAGTTTCGAAAATAACCTACACATCCAACAAATGAATGTAATTATTTTATGGCAAAAGGCTTATTGTGTTTTTAAATAGCCCCAACCTTTCTCTGTCTGGGTGTACTTTCCTTCTTTAACTACAAATCCCAAGGTTTGACCTCTGCTTTGCAAAAATGACATTTCTTCTTATTTAATCTTAAACCGTTGACAAGTAGTAGATCTGGAACTACTTAAATGTCTTTATGATTTTATTCATAATTCTTGGAGTATATCGTAATATCATTTAGGTATACAACGATACTTTCTTTATCTGGTTTCGGAATATCATTTACTCAAGTTGTTGGAATGTAGCCGGTGCATTTGTCAATCCGAATGGCATCATCCTGTGCTGAAATTTACCAAATGGTGCCATGACTGCTGCGTATTCTTCAGAATCTTTTGGTGTGGAATTTAGTGATATCTATGTTCAAGGTTTAGCTGGAAGAAAACTGTCACCCCACTTAACGTATTTATACATTCCTTCGCTGCTGATGGTGGTGGTTGACATATCTTCTTAACTGTTTTCTAATTTAGTTCCTAAAATCGATGCACAATCTAAATCCTTTAGTTCTTTTCGGTGTTATGACAACTGGTGAGTTCTATATGCTCAAGCTTTCTTCTATTATCCCTTCCCGTGCTAGTTTGATGCATCCATCTTTTAAAAATTCTCTTTTCTTTCCATTCATAGGAGAGTTTTCTTTTGTTTGCTATTGTCTCCCACTTTCTAGGGGAGATCTGATGTTTGACTTTAAAACTGTTCGTAATGTCACTTCCCAAGTTACCTACTTCTTCAACGTATTTGTCGATGATCTTCTGCGCTTCTCCGCAATTGGTGTTCACTTCGTTTCCGGCTTCTCTTTTGTTACATTCAGTGCGCGTCAAAATCTTAAGACACCTAAAAAAAAATTTTTTTCTGTGCAAAATCAAATAAGATACAATTCTAAAATCATTATTCGTGTTTAAACGTTGTAATTAAAATAAGGTAAAAATACCTTTTATTGAATCTTATTTTATATATGTCTAATCTGGTTTTTGGATTTTTTTGTCTTAAGGGGCCCGTCAAAATCTTAAGACTCCCCCCCCCTAAAAACACGTTTAAGAATTGTAAATATTACATTTTTTTTTATTTTGTTACAATAAACTACTGCGTGATTTTATTTTTCTAATCTAAGCTACTACAAAACGCTTAAAAAAAATAATTAGTCTAACAATTAAACGGGACGTCTCATTTAACTCAAATTGTAAAATATAAACACATGCTTAAAATAATAATATCTATTATTTATTAGTTTTTGATTCAGAAAAGTGATTTTAAACTGCATTAACTTTTTTCAGGGACATGATGGTTTTGATGTTTTTTAAAAAAAAGTAATTCAAAAAATAAAACAAAACTTATTTATTAATTTTATCACCTTTTCCTTATACAACGTCGATCATACTCTTCTGCATTTCGTTGACATATTTTAACAAATTTTCGGGTATAATACTTGATCAGGCTACTAATATTGCAGAATGTAAATCTTGAATATTATTAAATTGTTTCCCGTCTCTATAAATTATTTTCGACATTCTGCCCATTAATTTTCAACAGGATTAAGATCTGGACTTAATGGTGACCAGTTCATACAATCAATGTTATTGTTTTCAACCCATATCTTGGTTGCACGAACT